GTTTAACGGGCTCATCTGCCACTGCTGCGCCGGATGCTGAGGATCGCAGGCCAGCCTGGAGGATGTCAAAAGACGCGGACCTCACTCATCACCCTGACCCTAACCTTACGTTCCAGTGGTGTACCACCGCAAGAGCCGGAACCTTCATTCAATTTGGGATGTATACATGTCCGAGCACCTCGTTAGACGCTACCACCTTTTGAATGCGCGGTGCTTGGCTACGATGATCGCTGACTCGATCAAGAACGGCAATTACTTTAGCGTTGCGGTCCAGATGGATCTAGGGCGTAGCTTGAATGAAGTTTAAAGCACCGTGATGGGCTGGGCTTCGGACGCCAACAATGTGTCTAATCAACAGCCTTAAGGAGGTACCTCGGCTTGAGTGAACTCTAAGGGTCATCTAAAACCACATACCCCGCTGTAACGACGTTCACAGTAGCTTCTGAACGGAAGCCTGGGATAAGCTTTTTGGAATGTATTTAACAGCCATGGCAAGGAAAATCTATAGATGAAGTATACATTGCGCCCATCGCTGTGTGGAGCCGGCATCTGTGAAGCCATGGACTCGCTGGGTCTTATCTCGATGAACTTGGTCTGGGAGCGCTGATCGCACGGCGTTGTTGAAGATGAAATATACGCTGATGACCTTGCTTGCTTCCAGGCACATCCAGGCAGTCTCTTCACAAAGACTACTGGGGTTGGTGGCAAGTTCGAATAGCTTGCGAGTCAGAATGGCATACATAACTTACCTAACACAGTCCCATGCATAGTAGGTATTCCACACGCAAAGGTATCAACTGTTGGATCTGGCAACGCAAGAAGCAAGTTGTAGAAGCGTGAACCGCAGTATCTTGCAAGCCTCCAGAAAGAGTACACTTGAGCCCCGGCCACTCATGGACATTTTTTCCAGCTCCACTGCAGTCTGCTCTCTGGAATCCATTGTCTCTTCCGTCTCCAACCAGCTAATTCAAGTCACGACCGTCAGATGTGAGTGACCCTCTTGAGAGGAGTCGATGGACGTGGAAAGAAGGTCCAGTTCGAGGTCTTGTGAGCATTATCGATACTGCCAAGCCTCTTCGTCCCAGTTCTCTACGAGGTCGAGGTCACTCTGAGCGCGCAGAGAGAATAACTATCAGCGTTAGTCAGCAGGCGCGGAGAAACTCCGTTGGCACACCTTGAATTTCGGTCCAAAGCCGCCAAAGCCGTCCCGCAGGACGTAGATTTCCTGGCTTATCCCGAGCTCATTTCCTTCGAGTGCACTGTCGGCCTTTTGAGTATCAGCCTGCTTTGCCTCGGAGTAGATTCGTGCAGCTTTCGGACCTCTCTGCTGAGAGAGAGCGCAATGGAGAACAATCTTGTCCTTGTGCTGAAGAGCCTTGACGAGGTCCGCTACCTTGTTCTCAAAATTAGATGACGGCACATTGATCGCGCCTTTGATGTTTCCACCTTCGAAGTCATCGTCTGTCGCGAAAAGTAAGCCCGTGATAGCGTATGATTGCAAGCGGAATTGTCGAAGAGAAGGAAGGCAGATAATGATGCACAACACAGAACATGAGCCGCCGTTCGCCAAATGCTGAGGGCATATCTGTAAGAGAACGTACCCCGTACATCAACAACGACTAGCTTCTCCTTCGTTTTGGGGTCTTTGAGGAGCGATGCTAAAGAGTCGGCATCGATGTATTTGTACGGCGGCTGGAACGACATTCTGCTGGCGAAGGGAGGGCGGACCGAGATCGAAGAGGCAAGGCGGAGTGTGAGGCATGTGATGCGTGCAGGACGTTTGTATGCAGGATGAAGAGACACATGTAGCCACATCGGTCAGCCGACTTGATCATGTACACTCGAACACATCTCTCAGAAAGAATAGTGGAAACAATGAGATCGGAAAGTCAACGTAACACAACCAGGTGAAGGTCATGCATGTCTTGGATGATGGTGTGATCGCAGCGATGTAGGGAATCCCGAACTCTCTTCAATCAATCTAGAGTTGGCGCGGAAACCTGGCAAATACCAGGTCCAAATAACAAAAGCCTCCCGGAAAGCCTCGTATGGTCTTCCGGGAAGTGACTGCTCGAAATGACGCTCCAGTACCCCACGGAATTTCTCTGTATGACCACCCCATATTTTGCTAGTAAGGAGAGAGAATTATGGGGCCTGCTTCCACTAAGCCTGCGAACCAAGGATCTGGGGTTCAGGTAGCCGCGGAAATGCAGTTTTCACAGAGTCGTTGCGACCCGAAAACCCCCGGAACGCCGCGGCCCGCGGCCCAGAGCCATTGACCCTCCGGGCGTTTCTAGTACTCGGATAAGTTCCCGGAAAACAGGGCGCAGAGGCTTCCCGCCGGCGTTTCTGGCCAAAGGCCCACACAGTTTCGGGGCTAACTCTAAATCAATCCACTCCTGTCAGGTGGGGCAAAGCAGTATCGCAGCACTGTGGCACTTTCACCCTTCCAGCATAAGCGCCCCGCCCGCTTTCGTTCTCCACTCCCTGCCCGCGGTTTGACCAGAAATCATCATCCTAATCCATACCCACAATCCTTTCCTTCAACCCCTCGCCGCCGCATGTATCTCTTTGCATCCACAGGCTGCAGACAACACACGCAATAGGGGCCGTCGTCGACTGGATGCTCGTTTTTGTGCGAATGGTGCCTGCTGAAGCACCGTGCGGCCCGTCCCTGCGCTTCGAGGACGCGTCGCGTCAGCAAAGTACCCACCCGGCAGCCCCAGCCCCAAACAACCATGCTGTGGTCGTATAAAGCATCTGCTGCAACAGCTACTGCCATCTTGGCGGCTTTCCTGGTGCCGGCAGCCACTGCCAGGAGCATCGAGTCGCACTTAGACAGCAATGGCGTACCTCAACTCGTCCTACAAGGTGGAAGAGTGCAGGATGGCAGTTCGACTGCAGCGGCCACCAAACGGGTCCCTGTTACTCTCGGTGTTATGTCTCGCTGTCCTGATGCACTTTACTGTGAGGCCTTCTGGAACAACGTCATGTCTGCCCCGACAAAAAACATCCCAGGAGGGTCAACAGTCAACACCCAAATCGACCTCAGCCTCTCATTCATCGGCGAGCCCATAGGCAACAACATCCAAGACGCACCGTATGGCGTGGTTTGCAAACACGGTGATCAAGAATGCTTGGGTAATATCCAAGAACTCTGCGTCATGAAACGACTCAAATCCTCCAAGGTCGGCCAAAGGTACGATCTCTCACCGTCGGATGCGCAAGCCAAGTGGTGGGACTTCGTTCAGTGTCTAAATTTTGAAGGACTTGGCGAGATCGGGAAGAACAACGCCCTTGCAAAGCGATGCTTGGACATCGTTGGGGGCCCTCACTGGGAAAACGATGGTGTCGAGGCCTGCATAGACGGCAAGGAAGGTCGCGATCTACTTTTGGAGAGCGTCAAGGCCAGCAAAAAAGCCGGCATCAAGTGAGGAGTGCTTTGTCGCGGCTTTGACCTTCATTCTGCTGCTGATGATCTGCTTCCCACTGTAGGAACTCGTGCACCATCCTGATCGATAGCAAACCAATCTGCACCCGGGATGATAATCAGTGGAAGAATTGCTCTTCGGGGCATGACGTGTCCGACTTTGTGCACGCCATAGAAGTTGTGCACAAGAGGCTCAATCCGCGCTCTGGAGCCACCGGCATGGTCACCTCCGACGCATATCAGCAGCCGTTTTTTGCTGACAACCCTAGTCCTTTCCTCACGGAAAGGGCAGGACCCTCGCTCATCAAGCGACAACAGCAATCAGCCTCGGGTGGTGGGTCTGGCATACTTGGTGATGGAGGCAGCAGCCCGCCTGCGAGTCCAGCCAGCGTCTTTGTGAGTCCAAAAGCCACTTCTCCAGGAAGGACTCCACTGCAGGAGAACCCAATGTCGTGAGCCAACCTCCCGCAGCCTGCGGCAAGAAAATCCCATCACTTCTCTTTCATCTTTGTTGCCACAGTCTCTGATTGACCCAACTGCGTGCCTCTACTTCCACCATGCCGTTCTCTCGCTGTGAAGACCTTTGTGATTGGTTCGTCTTACGCTCCCCTTTCGTTACCACTGTCACGCATACCGCCGCCAGAACCAGTCTATGGCCTCCCTGACTGCTAGCACCCCAACTCCAAGCGCATCTTCGAGTGCGGGAGCTGACGGGAACAGCAGCAGCCGAGGCAACAGCACAAACACTAGCACTGGAGCTAACACTGGCGGCGGCAGTAATGGCAGCGGCTTTGGCAGTATCTTTAACAACAGCTTGGTCAGCCCTAGCTTACCTGCCCCATTCCTTGCCTTTTCTGTTGCAGCAATCGCGCTCTTCATCGTCGTTGTTGCCTTTGTTCTTTTGCGCATCTTCCTCAGGAACCGGCGCCTGAGACGCATGGGCCTCTTTGTCGACGACGACTTTGTGCGCGGCGGCTTTCTAGGCACAAGCACACGCATCACCGAAGACCCGCTCGTCCCGCCCAAGCTCTGGGAGGCCAAGATTGCCGAGGTTCGCAAGACCGATTCAGCGTGGAGGGGAGAGGCGAATAAGAACGATGCCGTCTATACTTGGGATGCACTCATGGTTGGTCGCAGTATTGACAACTGACATCCTGCTATCCTGTCTGACCATTCCTATGCTCCTTTTGAAGCCGGTGGCCGCAGCTCTGCCCCCCAATCTGTACCCAATGTTGTTTGACCATGAAAAGGCGACAATTGCTCCCGCAGCAACAACAAAGGCGGAAACAATCCCTGCTTCAAGTGATGCCACCACCGCACGTCATCGATTTCTAGCCGCCCCAAGGATCCCCCGCATGCTGCGTCGTGGCAACAATGAAGATGCTTCCACGCAGTCCAACGTACACGCGACCTCTCCTGTGGTTACAGGAACCACTGCAGACCCTGATCCGACTGCCGTCGCACTTGAAGCTGCTGCGTCCGAGCCGACTGCGGCATCAGTGAACGTTACAGTCTTAATTGCCATGCCGTCGACAAAGACGGTCTTTCCATCGACAAAGCGTCTCAATCCGTCCGTCTCAGCATCGACGCTTCGGAGCAACCTGCGCATATCCCCCACAGCTGAGATTCCGCAAGTCGATGAAGTTGATGACGATGCCGAGGACAGCATCGACAAAGGCAAAATGCGACGAGCGCCCTCTCTCCGCAGTGTACGAACAGGAGCCTCTGTGAAATCTGTTGCAGAGGCGCGCAGAGAAGCCTTCTTTGGCGAACAGGCGGCAAAAGACGCCGAGGCCGTGACAGCGGGTGCGCATCCTACGAACGGGCTGGATGCCTCCATCGAGGAGGATGAGCTTCCAGAGCTTGTGTTTGGCACCGCCAGTGTCCCGATATTCAAACGTATACCGACCCAGACGTCATTCTTTGGAGGCACAACAGAGACAGTTCTCCCGGTTCACCCAACGCGAGGCGATCTGCTCAAGCTTCTGGAAGATGCGAAATCGGCGCGCGAACGAAAGGCGCAAGCCGATGCTTCTCGCAAAGCCGCGGAATCGAAGAAGGCTGCCGGTCAAGATTCGGGTAACATGGTACACAATGCAGCGACTGTCCAGTCGATACCCCATTCTCCAGATGCTGATGCGCAAAGCGAACGGCCTGTCTCGGTTGCGTCCAGTGCGCATGCCGCTTTGGGTCTAGGCGATGTTGTCACCCGCATGATGCAAGCAAATGGCAATGCGAGCAATGCCGATGTTGGCCACTCCAGCACCCATCTCGCCCAGTCTTCTTTGGGGCCCTCCTTCAATATCAGCCGTGATCCAGCTGCCCCGACTGACAATCACCTCCTGCACCAGCCATCTTTTGATACGCTTGACTCTCGATATCACGACACGCAGCAGGGTGATTGCAACGCCACAACGCAGCCCATCGAAGTCCCACACACTTCAGTCCCTGCGCCATAAGGTAGCCGAACAACTTCCTATCGAGCCAGCCACTTCAGATTAGGTCGTGCGAAACGCTCCAACGAAGCCCTTCACGGCATTTATCTCATGTATTCCTATCTGCTTGTTCTGCAATTATCGTTGACTGTAATCAATTATGTCTTCGCTTTGCCGTTGCCATTGGCGAGCGTCTTGTGTTCGTACCTGTTTGCCTTTCCCTTGCGTGAAGCACTGCCGCCACTTATGTAGCTGTTGACGAAGAATTGCGCAAAGAGGAACAAGAGTGGTAGCATGTAGAAGGTGTTGACCCACAATGCGAGCGTAGCACCGGTCGTATCGAAGCAACTGGTAGGGCTTTTGCTTTCTTGGCGAAAGCGAGCATTGTGGGCAAGGTCCAGATGAGTGTATTCCGTTGATTGGAGGACGGGGGATTCTTGGAAGGAAAAGAATTGTCGCACGATGAGCGAGGCGGCAGCGATTGTACTACCGACGTGACGCTTCGCGATGCCTTGGAGAACTGCTCCGGGGTTAATGCGAAGGAACCAGTACAAGTTCGTGGCGAGTGTGCCTGAGGCGATCTGTGCAATCTGCAAGGAGGTAAGGCTGCGCTTGAGGGTACGTGGAAAGGGCAGGTGCAAAGCAGTGAAGAGGTAGTCTTTCGAGATCGGCCCAGAGTGTGAGCAATTTCCACCCACGGACGATGTGACTGTAGAATTCACTTACATGTGTACATTAGTGTGTGCACGAAAGAGTTCCAGGTGGTGAAGACTGAGCGCAGGTGACACACGCAGTTCAGCCGAATGTTCATGAAAGCCCAGCACCAGCACATACCCCAGACACATTCACTTCCGAACCGCACGGCGATCCACATGCTGATAAGCGCCCCTGCATGATGGTAGCTTTGCAGCTGGCCGACTTGCCTGCCCTTGAGTAGGAGAATGACCGAATCGACGACCTGACAAGATTTTAGTATGTGAACGAACACTCGTTAGCAAATTCAAGGAATGGTATAGATGTTTAGCATGACTCACTTCATAGTACTTGCTCAGATAGAAGAGATAGTTGAATTTATTGAGGTATCGGGCCTCAGTCGAGAACGTGCAGAGCGCCAGTTTGACTCCTGTGGAGATCAGACGCCGCTAGACGGGAATTAGTCATCAAAGGGCCTCGGGAGCACACATTGGGGAGCTGAATACGACGTACCTTCAAAACCAGCACCCCGAAGCCCTTGAGAAATGTAATCTACGGCGACCGGAAAGACGTGAATCCACGTCCAGGCGCTGAAAAGCATGAGAAAGGCATTGTGCACCAGGACGATAAATCGCAACAACGGGTTGCCTTTGACGTAATCTTTGCTGCCATTCCTCTTGACAGCACCGCTGAGCCAGTGCGCAAGGACATAGTAGGCGACAGCAAAGTAGAGCGGATAGACGGAGCGCAACGACTCTGTGTAAAAAGTCGACGGAAAGATCGAGTTCAAAATGGAGCCTTGTTCGAAAGGGTACGGTGGATTTGGTGAGCTGACGATTGCATCGTACGCAGATCGGTTATGTTCATATGGTGCAAGAAGGATGGTCTTCGACGTATGGTCAAAGGGGTATCGATGTGGAAAGATGAAATCCAAGGCTTGAACGAGCAATGGATTCGGTGGAAATGGAGAAGTCGTGAACAATGGCATGGCGTCGAAACGCTTCAGCAGCAACAAAAGACGCAAACTAGAAAGGAGCAAAGCGAAGGACTGATACCAGTAGCAGCTTTGATAAATGGAGATCAACGACTGTGCAGAAGAGTGTGTGACAAAGACTGTTCATTGAAACGTGACGGACAGAGCAATGAAAGCATTCCAATTTTGTCAGACTCGGTATGTACTATTAAAAACCAGGTCATCCATAGCTAACTTGGGCCAGCAGTCTTCAGATAAGTGAGGCCAATTCACGAACGGTTCCGCTGTTGGGACCCTAAACTAGCGTTGACACAAACTAATTTACCTTTCGAATGTGCCATATAATTCTGTACACAGTGCGAGACTTCAGTAGAGTAAGAACATCTGTTATTTAGCAAGGTCTCAGTTCCAATTAAATTGGGTGTAAAAGTAACAGCAGGGGCTTCCCACTGATAACATAGACAAGTGTAGATATCAACCTGCGATGATCAGGCAGCCACAAGCTGCCAAATTTTTACGTTTCGCAGAGAATTGGCTTAATCGAGATTCGGACCGGACGGACCGGACGGACCAGACGGACCAGACGGGCCGAGCCAATGACCCAAAGTCCAACTTCCGAAGTATCGTCCAATCATCTACTTCAAAGAAGCGTTCACGGCTACGTTGCTTCCTCAGACTTAAATATCGCCATTCTTCCACATGAAAGCGGCAAGCACCTTTCAAATACGCGCTGACCTTGGCACTGCCGGGCGTTGTGAAACAAGCACTTGATTTCAGATAGGTTCAAAGAACGCCTACCAATATTTCTTCGCCTGTTAGAGCGACCATCCAATTCTCAACATCGAAACAAGCATTGGCCGCAATCGCGCTAGACTCCGACATGTATTAGTCAAAACAATGAATGCCCCTTCGAGGTACCAATGCGTGGAGGTTGTTCTACATCGAAGCTACTTCTATTAAAAATGCATGCCTATGTTGTCAGCTCATTGAACATTCTGCTCACACCAGACAAGAGGTTGAGAGGTGCGCAAAGCATATAATGCCTTGTCCAGCATCACTTTCCATAGAGGCTACGAGTAGTTTCAAGTGGCTACCGTAATTAGCTATGGCGCGCCTTCACTAGACGTTAACGTAGACCGATGCAGACTCCATGCGCTTTGTCTAAGTGGTATATCATGAATGCCGAGTTTTTGATTATCCGTCAGAGAAAATTAGTGCCCGGAGTCGAATACATCTGCGTCGTGGGACATGCTCTTGAATTCGGAAAGGCTCATGTTTGCAACCTCGACGTTGCAGGCCTGGCATGTGCAGTGAGCAGTGCGCAAGGCTCGTCAGAATACATCCTCTTGAGGGCCGCTGGGAAGAACGCTCACGATTTCAATAACACTTCTCGGAACCACTCGTACCTTGTCCATCACCACTCCAGCTTTCTTGAGATGGTCAATCTCAACCAGTAGCAAGCTCCCATCCTTTTTTGTCCGTTGATCCGCGATGACGACCGCCGCTGCACTCCACTGCGATTCGCCCGTTTTCTCAACGCTTGATGACGTTTTCGCCACCTCATCGCGAATATACGCGGCAATCTTTTGAATAGAAGTGTCGTTTAGACTGCCATCAGCTTCGAATTTGAAGCCATCTTTGCCGGCGATAAGCAGCTCCGAAGGAAGGACGAGAACCACTTCCCAAAGTCCAGAATCTTCGGCCGATGTCTCTCCAGAGGTAACCTCATCAATGTAGGACGTGGAGCGAATCTGGGACAGCAAGCCCTCCAGATCATCCGAAGAGAACTGCGAAGGATCAGCGTTGTAGAGAGCGACTGGAGCCATCTTGATGCAGCTTTGCGAGTCGGACAGCTTTGAGCAGGTCCGTGGAGCTCGTGCCCGTGTCTTTTCAGCAATCGCACCGGCCAGGTTTCGTGATGGAAGATCTGTAATTCAGGACTCGAGATAAAGTGACTCAGAGGGTTGACAGTGGGTTGGGCAACTAGACAATTGACGCTTCAAACAACTAGATGTATGATATGATGACGTATTGGTGGTGAAAGGTTGACTCTAGCGTCAGCATCTGGCGATTCTTTATTAACCATTTCTCAAAAAACAATAGTCATCAGAAGGGTTTGGTGACCCAACGAATCTACAAAACTTTTTTCTTCAGGAGTCTCCATCATGCGCTTTCTGACTTCGCTCCATCAATACATCCCCCAAGATGATGCCACTGATTCCCACCTTTACTCGTAGGAAGTCTATGTTTGATGGATAGGGTGTGCAAAAGAACACACTGCGTCAATCTGGACGTGAGTGGGCGGCGGATCGGATGAGATAGCGCCGAGGTGCGGCCCTGGCACTCGTTGATTGGCATTGCGAAATCAATTCGACTGGGAAACTGGGCTCTTGCTGTTCACACCGTTTGAGTGCCAGGGCAAAAAGCGATCTGTGTTGAGGTCAAGCACACATTGCGTTAGAATTGCTCTTAAAATGGAAATAGACACAACCTAAGGTAACCAGTGTAATTCCACGATACCGTCTTGTCGAACACAGTGTCCACCGTTCTCTCGCGCTACATGCGTATTCATGCGGATATATACATACAACGACTGCAAGGCCAAGTTTGGACCGGCGAAGAGGGAATGCGGAATTACGGCGCAGGGGAGGCTCCAAAAGCTTTCGTGGAATTACATCCGCCGTCTTGCGAGGCGCACTTTAGGGAACAATTAGTCATACTCCCAACAATCTGCGACCGCGCTGGAAAGCAGCAATATCCGCAGCTGCGTGCGTTAGAAGCTGCCCGGCCACACCTTCGTGCAAAGCCTCAACCTCCTGTTGCTGCATATACTGGCTCGGCTTGGTGCCAAACAGAGGTTGGTCCCACGAGTCGACATCGCAGACAGTGCCGTTGGGGGGCAGCGTGCCGTCGAGAAAGTAGTCGCCGACGATGTGCTCAATGCAGCGGCTTTTCTGGCTAATGCTGCAATGCCCGTAGCCTCTGCGCAGGACGGCGCTCGAGTTAGGGAAGAGGCTGCTCATGACGACAGCATTGGCGTATGGCGTGACGGGATCGTACGAGTTGCCAATCATTAAGAGCGGATGAGCGGTGGGACTGGTAAAATCGCCGAGCCAGGGCTCATTAGAGTGGATCTGCCAACTGCCGTGGCACTGAATCGATTCGGAAAAGGTTGCTCCGAAATGGTGGCTGAGCCTGAACATTTGCTTCAAGAATACTTTCCAGTACTTGACCGTCGGCCTCTGCACGAATCGCCTTCCTGTGTCGCCACACGTGATGGCCACTGTGGCTTCGGCGCTGCTGGGTTTCCTGTGTGTGATTGCGCCCGTTTCGCAAGGCTTCAGCCCGTGCTTTTCGAAGAAGGGGACAGGGTCTCCATCGATCAAACGCTGTAGGTCCTGCGCAAGAGCATTCCACGACACCGGCGCATAGAGTGCATGGAAGATGGTATCGTGTAGGTCCGACCAAGTCAAAAGACCCGGATGGGTGGCGTTGGCGACGACGACTGGTTTTTGTCCGAGTCTTTCGTAAAGGCGTTCGACTTTGCCACGGATAGTATCAACGAGGTGCTGATGATGGCTTTTCTTGAGGCCAGCCCTGCTGCCAAGGCCTTTGGCAAGTGCGCATTCGTCCCCCGCCTTGGCGCATTCGTCGTAGAAGCCATCCAGCACACCGTCCGTGTTTATGAAAGTGTCGTTCCACAGGCCTTGGTAGTAATATGCCGGCTGCATGACACCATCGATGACCAGCCTGCGGACCTCGCTGGGGAACATATCTGCAAATGTTGCGCCAAGTGTCTGCTCAGTGAAAAAAAAACGGTCAATACACGCGGTCTAGCCGTCGGTGGGCCCACGTTGCGATGCTCACTGAACCATAAGAGAAGCCCCTGCAACGATAAGAACACATTGGATCAGCCCAGGAACGTCGGCGGTGAGATCTGTGCCGCACGCACCAGTAATTCAGACCAGTGTCCCCGACGGCGGTGTACAGCAGCCTCATATCTCTAGCCGTTGCTGTCGTACCAATGTACTGCAAGGTGTCCCTTGTCTCCTCGTTCTGCGCACACACTTGCGAGACGAGCTCCATCTCAGCGAGCAGCTCGCCGAGATGTGCGTCTCCACCGCCCTTAATGCTGCCGTACATTCCTTGGCTTGCCCTGACCATGTTGTTTACGCACGAATCAGCGGGACTCTTCCAGCAGTTGGCTCGCGGCCATGTGCGCCCGACGCCACGCGGGTCGAAGGAAAGGTAGTCATAGCGGCCCTTGGTGAGCTGGTTGAACAAGTCGGAGAACGTCAGATTGTTTGCTACTGGTCGCGGGGTTGTCATAAAGTCGACGCCGGATCCGCCCCTGGCAACAAGGCAAAGTAAGCTTGTAAACTTCATGTCTTCGCCAAAAAATATGGCGACGCCTGATCCTCACGGTCCGCCTGGATTGAGCACAATCGTCCCGAGCACATCCTCGCGGCGGGTGAGCTCTTGCGGGTGTTCAGCGACACGAGCCTTGTAGCGTGTCACATAGATGGATGCGCGACGGCGATCGGTCGTGGAGTTGAGGTAGTTCAAAGGCGCAGAGAGGCGGCCGCACTCGAACTTGTCGCTGTCAATATCTTCAGGGCACTGGTGCCAGTGAATGTCGCCCAGCGACAAGGTGCCCACGTCAACGTCGCCCTCTGGGGGAAGCGGCGCTACAGCAGAAGAGAGAGATGCTGGCGACGTCCACTGCGATGGGAAGGGAAAATGTGCGGTGCGCCAGGAGGGAGGGCAGAGGAATGCGGTGGCCGCAACGCAGAGCAAGACGGCTGTGCATCGACGCACTTTTCCGGCCGGCATGGAGCTGCGCTCCGCGCTCCCCGGCGCATATGGTAGGGTTGCACCTTTCTCATGCGACATGAGCATATCTATTGGCCAGCGAGCCTGTGAAAATCATGCAGCAGCAACCAGGCTCCGTGAGCACTGCATAGAGTATGACTCTTGCGATGAACATATATATATATAAACAGGAAGGAGAGTACCAGCGGGAGAGTGCACGAGAGTGTGGGTGTGTCTGCCGTGCGCAGTGCGCAGCAGCGCTGTAACGCTTGTATTCAACGTCCAGGGTGGGGGTGGGCAGACGCTGTGCGCATGCGATTGAATGGCCAGAGACCCCCCCTCCCCATGTGGGGTCGCACAGGCGCGTTCCTGAACCGTGGGCCTTGGCCCGCACATGTGAATCAGATGAGCACTGTCATACCCCTCTCCACATACCGTCAAGTCCGGTCACCGCATATGTGAGGCAGCACCGCCCGCTCTCGCAGCAGCACACTGGCGGTGTGCATTCTCCGCGTGGCATCGAGACTTGCTCCGTATGTTTCGTTGGCGCAATTATAGCATTCACGTCCATTCATGTTGTCCCTCGACGCCAAAGGCCACACATGGATGCTATATATCGATAGAAGTAGACACGACCACCTCCGAGGACCCAACCTGTAGCAGCAGCAACAGCAGCCTCCATCACCGCAGACCATGTCTGGAGAAGAAAAGGGACCGATCTACCTCGGTGAGTGGCAGCTGTCGCATCACGCGGACACTTCGAAGCCCCATGCCGCCGCCGGCACTATCACCACCACCAGCCGTCGATGGCTTCTGCTGCTAGCGGGTGTTCTCACCATTACGTGCTTTTCACGGTTGCCTGCCTTCTTTCTGCACCATTTCTCCGCCGTCGACACCGTCCACCACGACGGCCGGCCGCCCGTCGTCGAGGTCGACATCAGCAAGGTGCCCCTCGGTGAGATCAAGTGGCATCAGTGTCCCCAAGAGATCGACGGATCCAAATTCGAGTGCGGACACCTCTCTGCCCCGCTGGACCACCTCAACACAACAGAGGATGCGCGTCGCGCCTCCATCTACATCACGCGTTTCAAGGCTCGCAGCGGCAGCGAGCTCACGCCGCGCAAAGATGTACTTGGGACCATCATCCTCAATCCCGGTGGACCGTGAGCGTCGTCCTTGCGCTGCTAGATCACATTCGGACCTACACTGAATCCACCCTCCTCTAACGGGGCGCTCGGCCAGCGGCGGCTCGGGCGTCAGCTTTATGACGACGCCTCGGCCGAGCGCAAATAACCTGACATTCTCGGAGCTCTTCAACCAAATCACAAAAGGCCGCTACGACTATCTCTCCTTCGACCCGCGCGGTGTCGGGCGCACCTGGCCGCGAGCAAGTTGCTGGAAGGATGCTGCTGACTCGTGCCTGAACGAGATCTTTGTCAGCACGCAGGGCATGTACAGAGCACTTCCCGGCGGCGAGGACGCGCAGGTCGGGGAGATGCTTTCCGAGATGGAGCTTCGCGGCGCCGTCTGTGGAGTCAATGAGGAGACGAAAGAGTCACTGCGATATGTCGGCACCACTGCCGTCGCCAGGGATATGCGCCTCATGTACACTGCGGTCGGAGATCCCGGCTTGAACTACTGGTGTGTCCTCGGCCCGACTCATCTTCCCTCCATCACTTCTTCCCGTGGTGCTGATGTCATTGTCTCGATTCGGACGAATCAGGGGATTTTCCTATGGCACAGTAAGCCGCGCATAGTCCGGGCTGAATCCTGTCGGTGTTGCTCACGGTTGTTTCTTCTTCCTTCGTTAGGTACTTGGGTCCACGTTCGCAGACATGTTCCCTGATGAAGGTGAGCAAATCCGCCTCTTTAAATCCATCGATACAGGCCTGGAGACCTCTTCTGACCTTGGTTTTGACTACAGTCAACAGAGTCGCCATAGATGGCGTCGTAAACGTGACGGACTACTATCTCGGCAGATGGGCAAGCACCATGGTCAACACCGACGAGACGTTCTACGGCTTCATCAAGGAGTGCGCAAAGGCAGGAGATAGCTGCGCATTGACACGGGGACTGTCAAGCAGCGGCAGCAGCAAGAAGCAGCGCCAAACGAAAGACGTCGAAAAGAGCATCCACAAGAAGATCGCAAAGCTGTTCGACCATCTTTCCGCTCAACCCACCGTGGTCGCCAACGCGACGCATCCAGGCCTCCTCACCTGGTCTATGCTCAAAGGTACCATCTTCCAAGCGCTCTATTCTCCGGTTCAATGGAACGCTCTCGCCGAGGACCTGCAGCAGCTTGTCGAAGGGTAAGTAGTACAAGGCGGCCCCGCCATCCGTGCCGTGGAATTGGTCCCTGACAACGTGCGCTCCACACCGCTCCCTTCACCCGCCAGCAATGCGGTCCCTTTCTACGAGAAACATGGTTTGAAACCGTGCGACACCGCGCCAGCACTGCAGGAAACTCGCGAAGCGGTGCTCGCCATCGCTTGTGGTGACGTCAAAAAGCGTTTCGACAATCTGCCGACGGCAAGCACATATAAGAAATTGATCAAGGAGCATGAAAGCCTCTCCAAGTACTTTGGCGGCATGTTCGTAGAGGCGGTCGCATGCCAGGGGGCATGGCCCATCCACACCAACGAGCCCTGGAAGGGCGACTTTACAAGCAAGACTGCCAACCCGATCCTCCTGCTTGGCAACTCATATGACCCCGTGACGCCGCACGCCAACGCGGAGTACCACGCGCGCAAGTTCCCCAACTCCGCCTACGTCCTTCGCACCGGCTACGGGCACTGCACGATCAGCCAGAAGAGCCGCTGCGCCGAGAAGGTCATCGCAGACTACTTTATCGAGGGTAAGGTCCCGAAAAAGGGGACCGTCTGTCCGTGGGACTCATGGGATCAGCCCATCTTCCACGGTACCCGCGGCTACGCCATCAGCGCCGCGGCGGTGGAGAGCCTGGAGGATGGAGGCGCTGGCAGGCTCCTCACGCACGCCGCTGCAGAGATTGCTGCATTTGCACCTAGAGGCCGGCTCTGGTGATGTCTACTATGTACATGTACGGAAGGAAAGGTAAAATTAACGAAGATGAAATTTATTTCCAGAGCGCGATGCATCTGGGTAAATTGTTCACTTGCTGTGAGCGTTCACGTAGTAGGAATTCTACCAATCCGCTCGTGTTTGGGGCTTCGATCAGATACAGTTTCGGTTCAGGGATGCCTTTTGGCACGACTGTCCACGATTTCATGCGTGTATTATTCGGCCAACTCGAGACTAGAAGTCTCGCAATCAGCTGAGAGTCTTTCATTTCTATCAACGGTACTTCCTCGATGTTCCGGCGTGCACCACGTGCTGCAGTTAGGCAGCGTCAAAACTGTCCAATAGTTGAGGCACTGATTCAACAACACGATCCAAGCATAATATAACGCTCACGTATTCGAGCCAACTCGCTTTCAATCGGAGTTGCATCACGTCCTGGATTTGGGTGAGGTTCAGTTGACGTCTCGGCCTGCCACGATGAGTTATTCTGCACCGGATGCTCCATCGCGAGATGTTACCCCGCGAGTCTACAGCTCGCATGACCCTCCGGCTGCTCTGCGGGAAGCGTACGAACGAGACGGCTTTGTCATTCTGACCGACATCTTTTCTAACAGCTCCATGAATGCCAAAAAGGAGGACGCGCAAGAGGATCTGATGAATCAGTTGCGTGTTGCGGCGGAAGATACAGTCACCCTCACTCGCAAAGGCGAGTGGCCGTATCGGCGCGTCGTCGGCAAACAGTTTCCCCCATTCAATATCGACAGCAAGGACTACTGGGGTGTCCAGCACCTGCTGCACCCCTCTTGTCCGCACTCCGACCTCTTCGCCGAATTTTATGCCTCCTCGCCCTTGCTTGACGTATCGGCCATCCTCATCGGCCTGGACCCGAGCGAAGAGGGTGTGCGCAAGATGCAGCTCGAACTCTTCAACCTCCTGATCAACCCGACTACGCACTACTTTGCGTTAAGCTGGCACCGTGATGACATACGCCCGGAGATCAGTATCGATGACGAGCGAAAAGCACTGAGAACGCCGACGCACGGCATCCAGTGGAACGCGGCCCTCTACGACGACGATTGTCTTTTTGTTGTCCCAGGGACGCACCGTCGCATACGTACACACGAGGAGAAACAGGCGAATCATGCGAAAGCGCCTGAAGCAAAGAAATGCGCTGAGGGATACGGTGGAGCTGGAGAGGAATTGGACGTTGCATGTAGTGCAGATCCACCTACGACCCTCAGGGTCAAACTCAAGGGTAAGTCCTGTTCAACCGCAGCGTGTCGTCTCATCCCTCTGACCCGATTCAATCGCTTCACCCTGCAGCCGGCGAAGCAGTCTTTTACTCTCAGCGGATTCTTCACCGTGCTTCGTATCTGCCAACAAAGCAGCGCGCAACGCTTCACGGGTGCTACGGCTGCACTGGTGAGGAGCATAGTGCTGCAGCGTCCGAGCGCGCTCGCAATGTCCTACAGCATGGTGTCGAATGGATGCGCGATGAAGCATTCGGCGCTGGCCTACCGCCTCGCTTGCAGCCCATGTGGAGAAATTTGATCAATATGGAACGCCAGAACGCTGGCAAAAGCCTCGGGTATTCGCTAGAGGGTTGAGCTAGCTCAGGTGTTCAAGGTGAATTACATAGCCAGGGCCCGAGTGTTAGGCATTCTGTACAGGGCACACAGTCTGGGAAAATGAGTATAGGCATGGGTATCTCCAGCGCAGGCACCTGCGTCAAGTTAATTTCAACCTGTCCAGCTTTACGGCGTCCACTTTCCATTTGCTTGAACTGGGTTGACCATTGACGAGCGACGCACGATCACCAAAAAGAAATTGGCTGCCGTTCTCCGACGAATACACCGCTTCGGCGTTGTGTTTCGCGCCGGACACAAAAGTAATTTTGTGGGTTAAAGGCCAGCCTCTGAACGCAGAGACCTTGTCGGGCGTGCTCTGCGGAACACTCTTGTCGGGCGCCGTGCCGAGCGCAGGAAAGCTGCCGAAGAAGGCCGAGACTTGGCCAGGATCGCCTCCAGCAAGGAGCCAGATGTACTTGTAATACGCCTGGTTACGTCGTTGTCGTTCGCCACCGCCCCACGCTTGAGCCATGCAGGATTGGTCTCCTTTTCTATCATTGTCATCTGTCAAAATTGCAATATACGCGCGAAGCGCCATGTGAGTCTTAAAAGGAAAAAGCTAGTCACGCTCGCCCAGAGACTCACCGTCAGCTCCGATCACATAGCGGACATCGCGAGCGATAAAGCGCTTGAACAGTGCAGCAGGGTCCCCGTTCAAGGGAAGAGGGTAGCTTGCGCCTGGTGTGTACGCATTTAATGCGTATCGATATGTGTTCCAAGTTGGGCATGTAAGTTGATCGACTTTTGTGGGTCGGTCGTCTGTAAACTGCGCGGCGAGAGCGAAACGGGGTCGAGCTTGGTCAGCAAGCATTCCACAGACTTTCTTGTATGGATCGCCTCACAGCTAGACCAGTGGATGGATCGCCAACAACGTAGCGCAGATTGATCCTATCTGCAGCAGGATTCTCTTCGCCTAGAGCTGCGTAGCGTGCGACCATTTGGCCCCCACCACTGTATCAGCGAGGTGCACGCCTCAATCAGCGGCGCCACTAAAAGGAAAGGATATAGTTGAAGCGACGTACCCATGTCCCACAACGGTTATGTACTTCATTTTAGGATACTGAGATGCATCCGTAAAGTGGTTGACTAGTGCATCAAGCACAGCAAAAGTGCTAACCTGTGCCCCAACCGGATGCGTGCTGGCGTCCCCTGCCTCCCATTCATTAGAGTCTCCATACCCCAGCTCCGTGTCCGAGTAGACACCCGCATCATTGATGGTCGAAAAGAACAGAGGCGCAACGATCGCCATGTTGTCGGTCGCGCTTCCTTTGCCCTTGTTCTCCTGATAGATGGTATGGAAGGTGTTGTAGTAGTCCGCCGCGTTGCGATCTTTCCCATGGATCGTGATGAGAACGCTGTCGGTGTCCGCTGGCGTTTCCTTCGACCAAAACGTCAAGACGCTTGCACCATTCGAGCCAGGAATGGTGAAGTCTCGCTTGTCGGCGTTCAAAGGCGTCTGGCTGACCTTCTTCAGCTTGACCTTGTCTGTCGGTTTGTATAGCGTGTAAGCGTCACGCTTCTTGGATGGCGAGGAGGCCGCTGCAGCAGGTTGCATGGTTGCAGAAGCATTGAAGACTCCTGCACCGCCAGCTACCTCCGCTCGAGATTTGAAAGGAGATCCATCTTCCGACATTTGGAACAGCCTGCGAGGGCTGATCCACGCTTCATCCGCTTCATCGTGCTCGCCCATGACCATTGCTCTGCGAGCGCCACCAGCAGCTAGGTGGTAGGTGTTGATAGGAGAAGCAACGCCACGTGACGGTGACGTCGGAGCGGCGGCCACGCCGAGCAGAGGCGAGGTGGGAGGGGATGTAAGTAGCATAGAGCCGAGAATGGCTGCACCTGCTCCAGCCATCAATCGCTTGCTTTTGGACGGTGTGCTCGGTCCGCCCTTTCGCGGGCGGCGGTTGTCTGAGGATGCCATTTAATCAGATGTCGGCTCGCCTGAGCACTGTAGGGAAAGGACGAGGTTCTTAAAAGACGGGGCGTCCGGCTTTGAAGTTGGTCAGGATAATGGCGACGCCAGTCTAGGCTGCAACCAAGCGGCTACTTATAGTTATCGATTGTTGTACCTATTCAAAACGTTTCGGGATTCTCGAGCGAAGGTGTGCAAGGAAGTCAGGGAGCAAGCAATGACATCGGGTTGGGGCCGCTTGAGGGAATAAATGAGCTCGCAATACAGCCGGCCGGCCGGCACAACCGAGAACGCGAGATGGAAATGCGATGCCGAAGTCGCTTGCTTTGCAGTGCCAAGAAGCTGAAGTTGGGTTAGGATTGAACGGGAAATCTTGAAAGGGGAGGGGGAGATGAAATGAATGCATAGCCCTACAGTCCCATCCTTGCGAACTAGAAGTAGTCAAGAGCACAAGCAGGTCAGAATATAGAACAAGGGGAAAGTTCAGAGCGCTTGACTTGAGCACACGCCGCAGGCTACCGCGAGTGGGAAAGGTGCGGGGTGATCAAGCTACCGCATGAGGAAAGGAGGCATCAGCACCCGGCATCGCCGCAGAGTACTATACAGGCAAACGCAGTGCAAAACGTTACGAGATTAGACCATGAACGAAAGGGCGACACGTAGGCCGAAAGGCGATACACAGGAAGTCCATGCTGCGGGTCAAGCTTGTTCTTAGAAGCTGGAGAAGTCACTCGGCAGCGGTGAAGGGGCGGTGAAGACTTGCCAGCAACTGTGGGTTCGCGCTGCCACTGCAATAAAAGCCCGAAAAGGAAATATCATCAATGGCCCAGCCCTGCAGAGCTTGAGTCAGTTGTCGGAAAAAATCGCTGGTCTCTCTTCTGCCCCACGGCGGTCTGCTCTTTCCAGCTGCTTCAAATCAATCAATTGAGGGGCCCCTTTTGCGCCTGCTGCTGGAGATTTGTCCTTGAGCCGTTGGACCTTTTCCGCTGGCCGAAAGTCCTTGCATCAGTGCTAACCTGCACCTGTCCTTATGACCCCAAGAAGAAGCCCCAACAGAGTCCAATTAATGTCTCCCACATGAAACATCGCGGCAGTGGAGCGCGTGATCAGCCATTAGGCTCGATCAGTTGAGTTGCACTCTTCGACAACATCAAACGGTTTGAGGGAGCAACGCCCATCCATCGGTTCAAACACGTTGTCAATGCGATTCCGTCCAACGGAAACAATATCCCCGGCCCATCAAACAATATCCAACCTTGCCGGTCCACATACTAACCTGATAATATCTTGCATGTTGCTGAAAGGCTTCTCCAACGGATATCAGCGCCAGCGGCCAGCCGTTGCCTATGGGATGTGATGTCACGTGCCACGTACAGACGACGGGACTGGAGGGATATTGCGGGAATGCGAGTTAGGGTTGTTCCCTCAAGCCCACCACTGTGCTTGATGCACACACCAACTGCGTGCATCAAGAAGCTCCGGAATTCAGTGAATGGCGTGAGTTTCGATCGTTGCTTTCCTATCGGTTAAACGGTATCCCTCCTACATACGGGGTCACACCTTCCACGGTGCGTACCCAAACTCCACGCCTTGTTGCGATTGTAAGTCGCAATAATGGCGCCATAACGACAATCATCAAAAGCAACTATTCAAAATCAGCTCAGACAGTTACTCTGTTGTGCAGCTCTTTGCACGCCATCGCGCATTTTTTGCTTCTTTTCGCAGCGCGGACAAGAATGTGGAGCATGCCGTACACGAAAAAGGAGCCTGACAAATTCGTTTCAACATAGGCCGATCGGATTGGAAGATTCCTTAAGAGCGTGCGATTTTGCAACTACTTCTGAACGATTGACGGCCATCTGCAAGTATGTGACATGACAGGTGGCTTAGCAGGCAGATAAGGATGAATATTTATGAAAGCGGCGCAGATGACCATCCAGTAATTCGCAAACCTCGATTCACTGGGCGATGCATTGAGGGCATGCAGTTGCAGCATGCTTCGCGATGGAATTGCACTCGTACGGAATTGCACTCGTACGGAACGGCGCAATCCAGTTCCTTCCATTTAGAGTTGGCCTCACTCCACAGAGCAGGCAGGCTGATGCCTGACGTGGCCACATATCCGCCGGCGGTCCTTCGATGTGCATACGGCAGGTGTGGGATTCAAGGTGCCAGTCCGTCGCTCTAACAGCTCTGCGGAGAAGAGGAACCGTTGAAGGTACGTACCTCGTACTTGTAGCCTTTCGTTTGATGCCAGCTTGAAGGAAGCATCTAGTGATCTTGCGGAACACTACCTGTCTTCGGATTTGACCATTGTTATGTCACGCTACTGGCTGGCAACGCTGTCCCATGGTTTCGCGTCCATCTTGGCCTTGCCTTCGTCGGCCTTCATGCCGCTAACGTAGATCGAGTCAGCATGCAGTCGATGAACAGCACCTTCACCTAGAAATCAGACAGACCTTGCGAGGCGTAGTTGTTGGTAATATCTCCCGCCAGAACGTCCTTATCCTCGTCAGAAAAAGGGCTTTGGGGCTTAGATGCCTGAGAACAGTAGACAAGTGCAACGCATGAGTCGATATGAGCCGAAGCCTATCCGAGACAGGGGGGCTGACGGCGATGCGGTATGTCGAGGTATAAGCTAGACCCCGAACGCCAACCAGGTAACCTTTGTCTTCGTAGCTAAACTCCAAGTCAATCCTATGCGCAAATACCCGTCGGGCGAAACCTTTCCTTTTGCTACTTCTTATGCTACACTCCGTGGGACTATTAACATGGCGATAACGCCGTCTGATACTCTCCTTGGGTCACAACAGAGACTTATCGCTGGAAAGTGGAATCATGAACCATGCCGGCCGACGTTCTGTGTGATTCATAGCTGCAGGAGGCGCAAGGCTGAAGGCTCCAGAAACAAGATGTGCGCAGACAGTAGAGCTGCAAGCGACCACGAGAGTCATCGAGAAGCTATGTAGCGACATGAGATCTGGCCTTTCATACTGTACAGATCCGTAAGCATCGAACGAGCTAACTCCGGCTTACGTTAACATGCTCGAGAGTCAGCGAGTTGACGTGGCGGCACGTGTATTACGTAGGTTGAGAATGTATCTAGCTATATAGCACGTTGGCATTTTAGGACTGACAGTGCTACAGTGGCAGAATCGGCATCCTGTTTCTCTCGTCTCCCCAATCAAGCTCAAGGACCAAATGTCTCTAGTCCCCAGGAAGATAGCGAACGGATGGTTATCCGCGCTACAATTGACAGCCAAGCAAGTGCAAGCGGCCTTTATCAGCGGCCTGGGTATAATACCATGCACCATACATAGCTCCCTGTGCGGGCGCGGAGCGTTCTGGTCCACCTCAATACATTCAGATCTATCTGATGGCAATGAGTCCCGAGCCCACTTTCAAGGAGCAAACATGACATTGCGTAGAGGGATGCAGCACGATGCTGTTGGGGATCAAATCGAAATTTGTCCGGTGGCACGCCATGACTCGCATGATTTGCACTGCTCTCAGGACCACCTTCGATAAGCACTGACGGTACGTGAGGCAAGCTGACGAAAAGGGGCCGGTGATGAGAAACCCTCAGCCGGGACGGAGAGATTGGATGACATGGAAGCGACTCTATTCGCAGTCATCTGCAAGGCTGCGGTGACGGCTCATAGTTGTGCCGCGTAAGTCAGGCGGAGCGACGAGTGATGCGCGAACGACCTTGAGCTTCATGCTGTCCTTTGAAAAAGAGGATGAGCGACGATTCCGGCCGGCAGCAGGTCCCAATGTGGCGATCAGCAGCGCCTCCTCTAAGCTGGCCACATCTTCCGCCACGCCTTTTACTGCGAGCCTAAGCGCCGACGGTGGCTTCGCCCCGAGCGTCCCTAAGAATCCTGAGCCCGATGCGAGCACAGAGGCAGGATGAGGGCTGCACTCGTTACCGCTACCGCTGCTGCTCTCGGCGTCTGACTCTGAAGACATGCTCGAAGCGGATGCCGCACTAAGCGGCGGCGTCTCTAAGTCAGATGCGCCGCCATCCGGCAGCTGAGGCGAGAAGGGGAAGAACGGCGCTTGCCTCGTGCAAGACGAAGACGGACGCATATGCCCCGCCTCCGAGGTATAGTCAGAATGACCTTGCCGGTGCGCTAAAAGTGGTGGCCGGCGCTCCAGAGTGGCTTGATTTGCTTTGGCGAGACCAACGTCGATCTGCAGGTCCTCGAATCGCTTCGCACTTCTCATCCGCGCATGCGTCGGTCGCCGTCTACTACGTCCTTCACCGAAGCCAAAGGCACCTTGGAGAGTAGGACTGAGCGGCGGCAGACCGACAGTGCCCTCGGAATCTTTTGCGTCTGTCCAGCCGCGATTGCGACCGAGAGACGATGCTGATGTTCCGGCAGCAGCAGCAGCTCGAGGCGAGCCAAGGGGCGAGCTTGTATTGCATGACAAAGGGGGGGCGCCGGCTTCACGAACGCCAACAGCTGAAGACGCCATGAGAGAGGGCCACACAGAAGCTACACTCTGAGAGCGGATGAAACGCTGCGCAGACCTCGTAGGAGTAGCGCGTGACGGCGACGGTGAAGGCAACTTGTTCATGCCACGTTCCGCGTACAAGCCGCAAAGCCTGCCTTCCATCTCGCGGAGACGAGACGCTTGTAGGGAAGTTCGAGCGTTCGCGTGGACGTCTCCCTCTGAGTTACCTGCAAGGAGCGAGTCCAGGCTTCCGTCCATGGTCAACGAGTGTGCAAGGCGTGGCAAAGAGCGGACGCATCCAGAAGGCGTAAAATCGGCTCGCGAGCAGGTGCCGGTGTCCAGCCAAGGCCCCGAGAATACTAGACTGGGGACATCGGATGCGGTGGCGTGTCGCTTGCGACGCAGGCTCAAGCTGCCGCGTGGCGTGTTGGGCAAAACGTCATTCTTGCAAGTCGGACTGCTGTTCGCCCCGCTAATGGTGAGGAGCGGCACGCTGCAGATTGATGCGGGCGAACCTGGGTGTTGCAGAGGCGAGGGCTTATGGTCGGGGTGCCATGGATCGCGGAAGCGCATGGTGATGCGAGGACGCTGCTTGTCATACTCGACGTGATCGAGGCAGTTTGCGGTAACGAGTGTGACGGCTGATGTCGAGCGAGGAGGAGCGAGCAGTCCCAGTCCTGGAAGCTCTGTACCATTCACCAGCGAAGTGCGGGTCGAAGATATGGATGGCGTAACGGTGGGATGTTTGGTGTGTCTGCTGCGCCGTTTCGGCGAGCTGGTGTCAAAGTTGCGCAATACACCACGATCCACAGGGGTTGACTTTTCGTCAAGCGTTGGCATCACACGCACACTTCGGGTCGGTGAGTGCGTCAATTGACGAGGGCAGAACGCTGAGTAGTCCTCGTAAGCGTCGCCGAGGAAAGGTCTTCTTGGCGCATTTCGAAGGGGAGTCGAGGTCGAGGCAAGTCCAGGAAAGCGACTGGGCGCAGCTAATGCCTGGAGAGTCTCTTCGATCGTGCGGTGATCTGCAGTAACACGAAGCTCTTTTGCAGCACCAGTTGACGACAGCGTTGCACGGCGTTTGCATGGAGAGCTGTTTGTGCTGTCGGCACTATTTGCCGAGCTGGCACGTCGATGTCCGTCAACTCTGGGTTTGCATCTCCTGGAGCTGCTTGTAGGGGGCGAGTCGGAGTCCGAAGACGAAGAAGACGAAGACTCTGCTATGCCGGAGACATCCTGCAGCTCCTCGAGGCGACTGCGAAAAGGCGCTACTGATGGACGTCGAAAGGCAATAGACCTCGAAGCAGGGGAAGCGATGCTGCTGCTGCTTCTGCTCCGTGGTCGCGAGCCCCTGCGCACAGGCATATCGTCCTCGTCGTCGGTCGAACGAGCATTGTCCGAAGGGGTGCTGATTGATGGATCATTTTGCTGTGCCGCATTGAGAGCTGGCGTTCCCGAAAGCCAGCTTGCGAGACTGGATGTGGTCGGAAGTCGAGCCGTCAGCGACGATGGAAGAGCGATTAGATGAAGGGCAAGCGTGATACTCGTGTTGGCGCCGCTTTTCGTTCTCGCACTCATCTCGGAGCCCACAGCGCTGTAATCACAACTGCGCTTGGAGATGGCGCTGCTGTGTGACTCCGTCATGTCCGATCGATCCAACGGTTTTCTTGTCCCAGAAGCGGCGGGTGGGACGAGCTTGGAGCGGGATCCGGGTAAGACCGAGTCCGCTGATACGAGTCCAGAGCCTGGCCAAAGTGATGTAGAATCTTTTGTACTACTTTGTCGCTCATCCGGCCGCACTCTCAGAACCGCTGGCTCGGGCATATTGGCAGGCTGAGCCCCTCCCGAACGTGCTGAAGACTTAGAAGTGCTGCTAAGCTGTGAAAGTGCACGAGACAATGCGCTTCAACACGGTGGTCGTCACTGATATTTCATGCGACGAGCTCACCCACCAGAGTGCATGAGCGAGGCGCGTTACAGAGAGACTCTGCGTCTGCAACACGTCCGTGCACAGGACAATGGCGAGGTCGCTCGTTTCTTGATATTGGTTGTCAAAAGGGACCCTATGGCTGAAGGAGGTGGATCGATGTGTACCATGGGGTCGAGGGAACCTCAGAATCGAATCAAAGAGTCCGCGGGAATGGTGGTCGAAGCGGTACCGAGATGATGGAAGCAATCGCCGTCCCCACGTTTTCTGACAGCTTGATGGAGTAAATGTCCTGCCCGAGGAACCTGACAGGGAGGAATAGGCTTCAAAATCAGGGCCAACACCGCCTCGGCCCTGATTGGCAGGTGCCAAGACATACCGGATTCTTAATCCGACTTCAGTCGTTGACTGGCCCAAAGCCAGGCAGGTCAGGCAAGGCAGACCGACCGACTGGGTGTGCGCGAATGTTGTGTGAACTAGTCTGTGAGCACAAACTGTATCCGCTCAAAACGCCCGGCAAGAATTTGGCAAGCACAAAAGACTCGATTTGAGTGTGGGGGACGAAGTTCACTGGCTCGTATGGGGTGCGATGTATTAACGGTCAGGGCTTACTATTATAGCTTCTTGACCGTTGGCCGCGAACACTTTGGGCAGTGGCGACTACCAAGTTCGTCCAGCCGCCGCCCAAAATGGTAGTAAGCACATGAAAAGCGGCCTCTCGGTTGCAAGACGGAACCGCTCCACAGCCGACTGACTTCTTGGAGCGGGGTGATATGATCGGTCACTCCTCACATCCTCAGGGACGCCACACAGTACTGGCACGAAGGGGGAGGTGCACGCCCAGGAATTGGGTACGAAACGGATTTCGCCGGGGCTTGCGGCTCTTGAAATGGACAGGTATCTGACAGATAACGATGAGAGATGGTGCTGGTCGTCGACTGACATTGACAGGTCTCTAAAAGGAAAGAGGCAGCATGAACTGGCTCCTTTGACCGCGGGCCGGGTTGGTGGTTGGGTGGCGACTGTGAGCAAAGAGGGCGGAGGAGGATGAGAAAAGCACTGTGTCACGTGTCGAATGAATGTCGTCATTCAACTCCCCCCCCCCTCCCATTTCAATACCATGGCTGCTTCATAATGAGCGCATTTTCGATCACATACAGTGGAAAACTCGGATGCATGCTGGGCGTCAGCATACAACTGAAATACTCTGGTTGCCAACCCCTACTCTAAAGGTCTGGCGACCGACTACAGCTGGACCGCCACAAGCGCCGCTACCTCGTCTCTCAAGAACGCTACATTGATGTAGCGCCGCAAACGCACGGCGCCATGACGGGCAGCGCCAAGCCATACAATGACGATCTTGCCTCTATGACTCCAGTGAGAGGGTGGAAAGCAACAGCGCTTGTTGCGGTCCAGCTATATACTGATGACCCAGTACATACTTGTGATCTCCGCCGTCGGTGACAGATAATGCGTTGGAAACCCGATGCGTTGCAGCCTTATTCTTGCTTTGGCCACCCAACGAGAAACGGTCATGCTGGGGAGCGGCTCTATTTTGCTTTGTTATCTCTGCACCAACCATCTCTTTTGCCCAAACACTCAGAACTTTTTAGCAAGACTTGCAAGTGCTGTTAGCAGGTGGAGAGCTTACAGGCATCCTCATCGACTCGGACACGCCCACGATCAGCCTCGTCGCGCCGGGGTGATAAGAAGATCGACTCCCTGCTTGCCGCCGGAGTGTCCTCTCTCAGTTTCGGCAACACCCATGCTCTTTGCCGCTTTGGCCATACTCGCTCTGGGGTGAAGCGCTGGGCCCAGAGGGTGCCGTAAGCTTTCGGCAAGCCCAGAGCTTTTATCGCTTTCAGTATTACCAATACGAGGCGTATGCAGCAAGGAAGGGAGGGAGAGCAGACGTAGGGGATGTGCTGCATACTAGAAGGTTGCTCGTCCTTGCTTCTTCCTACTAACTTCGCTCAAACAGCAGTCAGTGTCTTATGGACGATGAAGGCTACACCTGGTGGAGAGCAGGAATAAGTTTCCCATTAGCGCATCCGAAAGCGCCTCAGACTCTGTCTTAACAGCTACAGGAATCAGTAAGTGCCAGGCCTAATCATTCGCGACGTTGTGGACTCAATTATTGTGCATAAGAAGTAATTCCATCAAGCGAATTCCCATTTCCTCAGTGCATCAGACAATCTGTGCCAGTGCAGCTGCTACTGCATCTCGCAATTACAGGCATCTTCAGATCTTGCAGACGTGCGAGCCCCCATGCCGACACTAGCTTATGTTACCATGTGATCATTTATGGAATACTCGTAGATGGGTACGCTCAGCGCGCAGTTTCCATCCGAGTCGCCGGGGTGCAAGAAGAAATGACTCGAGCTGGTGGTGTTGATCCAGATCTCATCGGCGGAGGAGAAGTTGCCCGGTGACGAAAGACGGGGAAGAACAGACAAAAAGGAGCGGCGCCAGCGCGGGATTGCAAGGAATGACGAAATGCAGGCAGGGGTGAACGAGCGAAAGGAATGCACGTAATGTGAAAAGCCCAATAGTCTGGGAGGAAGATCGGGGATGATCTCGGTTCTGGCGACGTGCTGCAGAGGGAGGATGCAAATGCCGAGTTGCTGACCCACGGCTGGCCCAAAAGGATCGTAATCGAATTGATCGCATGGCATGCAAAGTTGGCCGATTCGATGGTACTGATGGCCGCGCCAAGTGAGTGGCCTGTAACCAGCACCTGCGCAGAGTACTTTGATCAAGAGTCTTGGCTTGCGCCAGGATGGCGTCGACCATGTGTAACCAGTCTCCGCTAAGGCATGGTACAGCTTCGAGCCGTCAGGAACATGGCTGGCCAGTTTGGAGATGGACGGTCTCCAAAGGCGAACTGATGCTGTCGCTCATGATTGATTTCTTTACGGCATCCACCATGCCCCCTTATAGAGATGACTAGTGACTAGACCAATTCGTGCCAGCGTAGGCAGGATTTGAAACCCAACCTCAGGTCATCGGCTCTGCAGATGCCCTCGCCTGTCGAATGTCGACTGCGAGAAGAAGCAGCAAAAACCTAGAAGGTCATCATGGAAACAGAGTGACAACTCGCCCTCTTCTGACTGGCACGATGAAGATAATCGGCAACAACGAAAGGGAACCCCCAAAGGGCCACCCACAGATGGTGGCGCACATCCGGATGCTGAAGCCCTGGAAGGTGTGCATGCACCATGTACCGTGCAGAGGGAGACCGTCTCGCTACAAGTGCATTCTCTGCGGCCAATATGATGATAGATCTATTGTTTCTGGAGAGAGTCACCATGTGCGATGGTTCACCCACCTTCTCGAGAAAGGGTCGGAATCTGGACTGTTGTGCCGTGGCACAGTTACAAGGTGCACGGTCCACGCAGTTGCGCGCCAGCACATTTCCCCTTTCTTTAGCATGAAGAGTCTTGGCTGAATCTCCCCTCCCGCTTCTGAGCCTATCGCCAACTTTGTCTAGGATGCTTCCTTGTTCGCAACGGGGGCCTGCATAAACCTTAGCTTGGCCATTGAATGCACGCGAATCGAAAGGTGCTCATGGGAAGCACAAGAAACCTATGCGCAGGTTTTACTAGTAGGATTGAATGCAAAGGTACATTCGATCGCATCCTGTGTGACAGCGCCAGCTCAGACTCGCGGCCTTTTAGGGGAGGGGGCATCTTCATCGTCATCATCATCATCGTCGTAAGAATGGATATATCAATCAACAGTTGCCTCTCCCATCGATCTTGACTCCGGCGTATGTGCCGAGATGGTCTGAGGTAGAGTAGTCGTAGAAGGGAACGCTCCAGGCGCAATTGACATTCTCGCTGCCTGGACATGCAACCAGGCTGTTCGAGTTAGCAGGGCTGATCCACACTTCACCGGGCGAGCTAGTCCAAGTGAAAACCCAGGTGTCAGTCGCCGAAAAGTACTGCTGCCTCAAGATCAACTCACTGCCAGTAGTCGTCACCGTGAGGTGGGAGGTGCGGGACGGGGTCCTTGCCGTTGTTGACGTGCTGCAAGTTGAGGCTCTGGCTGAAGACATAGTTGCCGGTTCGCGGCTGTCCAAAGATGATCGTTGTCGCATCGACACCGTGGCAGCTAAAATAGGCGCTGTCGAGCGCAGCGATCGCCGCGCCAAGCGAGTGGCCCGTGATGAGCACGCTCGCAGACGGGTACAGCTGCTGTGCTGATTTCACCTGCGAGAGGATCGCCGCGCCGGTCGCGTCCCACGTCTCTTGAAAGCCAAGGTGGACTTCCGAGCCTGACGGCAGGCAAGATACCAGGTCCGAATTGGGCGCCACAGCATTTGCCTTCAAGTCATTTTCGATGCTTTCGAAGGACGAGGTGTTGGTGCCTTGGTGGCTCACCACGATCCTGTTGAACCGCCAGGGGTATCAATCGAAAGGGTTTTCAACGGGTGGGCAACAACGGAGCATGTGACGGTCGACTCACCTGTTCTTCGTGGCCGAGTAAGCCACGTAGGCGAGAGGAACATTCGTACCGTCGCCATGGGTCCACAGGACTTCGGCAGTGTTGACCGTGTCCCCGACCTTTTTGTTGTAGCAAGTGCATTGTAGAGGCGCAAATGGCATCGAGCAAGGATGGCCATGAGCATCAAGAGCGAACTATGACTGTGACAAACTTAAACGTAGCAATTGCTCACCTTTGGGGTGCAGTACGCAGCCTGCGCCCAGCGAGCCGGGTCTTGGTAGGGGGTGATGTCTGCGATCAGTGTCGGCTGACCAGTCGAAGGGGAGGATTCACGCCTGGTGAGCGGCGATCCTAAGACCACGGTGGATAAAAGAATTGGGAGCAGGGCGATGTGTGCGTACATCGTGAAGACGGAGCAGGGTACACGCAGCAAGAGGTTGAGCGGGGTTGAATTTTTTTGGGAGGGGGGCAGAGGCATGCGAAAGGGAGTAGAAATGGCAAATGTAGATTCAGCACGGGGAGGGCGGCTTCACATAACAGCCCAGTTGGTCAGGCAGGCTCGGCCAGACTAGCATTTATATGTGCTAGCAGTCTGCCAAGGTGCAATAGGGTGCCCATTCGCGTCAGTCGTTGAGACTCGACACAAACAAGAGTCTGGACAGGATTTAGACAGGATCTGACAGGACCCGAGTCGATCCACTTCTTTGCCAACCATGAGCTATCGTAAGACTCAACCCCATTGGGCCGTCGCCTATAGTTTGACTCAGGCAACAAGGTCTTCATCAGTACCTTTCGACGCTCAGCGGTCCTCCAGCTGTGTGCATAGTCATCGCCATGCACCGCATGAAGGCAGGCAACCTGCAGCATTGTCGGCACTGCATGTGCACAGTCGGGGCAGCGAGAGAGCAAAGCCCTTGAGATGAATGCACTGCAAAAGAGGGCTTCGGGTGCTGGGAGACATTGTCCATGACTCCACCGGGCTGCTTGAGAGCGGCTGCATAAAGAGAGGAACAAAGTTGTGTGCGGGGCCTGGCAGTCACTACAAATCCGCGGTCGGCTGGTCAACACGCTGGCGCACTTTTTAGCATGGGATTCTCCATTGTCGTGGCCGGCGGACCGCGCGGACAATAATCCGTGCCTGGTGAGCCAAAACCGACTTTACCGACCACGTTGTTGCCTCAACGAGAAGCAAAAATATCGATCTCACAGCGCATCGACACAGGTCCATGGCTCTTCGGTCTCTCTCGATCGCCTGCCTCGTCGTCATCCTTTTGGCTCCTTCCCTACATACCCCATGGACAGAGGAAGTCTCGAAGTGGGGGAATCTACTTCCAATATACGAGTTGTACATGCTCATACATACTTGCGTACGTACATGGAAGCAATACTGGTGATTACAGGGCACAGGCTCACACAGAAGGCAGTAGGACATAGTTGACCAGCGAAATAATGATTTGGAGAGTTAGCTGGCCCGACCGCCACCAGCTCGGCCTTGCTAAGAATCGGGAAAGTCACAGGCCAAGGTACTGATAGAAATTGAGTGAACTATATCCAACCCTAACTCACTCTCTTTGATGGCAATCGATGATCGTAATCCTAGCAAAATGCGAAACACCCATCACACCCACTCCACCTCGATGTCGATCACATTCTCCAGCTCTCCAAAACCTCAATCTCCATCCTTCGCCTCTCGCCGGCTCATCAACCGTCTTGCACGTCACAGCGACTGATTCACGTCGGACATTGAGAAATTTGCCCTGCAATTTTGTGTCCTGTGACGCGGGCGCATGATCGGCTGAATACGTCTACCAGGGCAGGTAGCCAGATCATAGACTTCGTTCGCATCAGCAAGGTCGTGCACGATGGCCGCAGCCAAGGTCCACGAGAAAGTCGTTATCCCCTCCTCGAGCTCAAATATTACCAGCAGTACCGGAAGTGAAGACTTGAACCGGACAAAAATTCTCTTCCAGCTGCGACAATTATCGTTTCCCGATTGGGCCAAAGTGGGAGCGAGGAACCCGAAAGAGCTGAAAGGTGCTCACAAAAACAAAGCATCTTTTGTCGCTTGGAGCTGTGATGGGAACTGGCTGGCTACATGTGGCGATGACTGCGTCAAAGTGTGGGCGCCAGAAAGAAGTGTGGGTTTCACCTTCTCCAGTATCAAATGCATGGTTGCTGGAATGCTGATTGCTTTCATCACATTGCACACAGACGGATGTACGAGGTGCGAAAGAGCTCAAAGGTCACGAGCGACCTGTAGCACAGGTACGATGGGACCCTAGCAATCCAAACATCCTCGCAAGCATTGGACAGGATCGGACACTTCGGATATGGGACAATCGAGGTGAGCAGATTTGCGAGGACCTGTGCGCCGGCCTGGATTGACGACCTGTGCTGCTTTGTGGTAGCAGAAAACGATAAGGTCTCAGTCGCACAGCTGCCATCCAACGCGCTCAATCTCGCCTTCCACCCTTCTTCGCGGTATATTGCAATCGGTGACCGTGATGACCGCGTTAGCTTGTTCGACGTGCGTATGCTCGGCAGCGGCGATAGCGCAGCAGGCGCACCCAGCACCGGCTCAGATAGCACCACAGCAAATACACGACCTACCGCAGTACCTGTCGCGCTTATTCGGGATGTCAACCAAAAGGGAGAGCTGATCAACGAGATCGCCTGGACGCCAGACGGGCGGCAGTTCGTGCTGACCAGCAACACGGGGACGCTGAGCGCGATGCAAAGCTCTACGTTACTGATCGATGAGACCTCGCTCCAGTCAGCTACAGAAAGGAGACTAGCTGGGCAAGCGCCGACGAATGTCCTACCGTGGCGGACGACGCACTCGTTCACCGCGCATACCGCCACCATCTTCTGCCTTGCGATGGATCCATGCGGGCGTTACGCCGCATCCGCGGGGCAAGACTCAATGATCGGGCTTTGGAACACTGCGGACTGGACCAGCGCCGAAGCAGGGATGAATGCTAGCGCGATGACAAACTCGGTGCACAGTTTAGGCTTTAGCGGCGATGGAGAATTTTTGGCGGCAGGCGGAGAGGATGCTTGGGTGGAGATTGTGAGTGGTACATTTTTTGCCCAAACGCCCATCTTGAAAGCGCATGCTACTGATATGATTCCTGCATGCTCTTCGCGCCTGCCCACCTATAGCTGGCGACATCCACAATGGCATCAGTCCATCGGATCCCGACACCGCTCGGCGACACGCCTTCCGTTGCATGGCACCCCTGGCGCCACGTGCTAGCGTACGCGTCCGATCATTGGAATGCGAGTGTGCACATTTTCGGGCTGTGAAGCGCTGTGCTGGGAGATTAGCAGCCCGACCGTCTGGGCAATCCGAGGAACAGCGAGGAAATTACATGTGTAAACAATCATCAATGCCGAACAGTTACGATTTTGCTTCGCTCGCTATTTTGGATGCATATGATGATTCGTGCAAGCTGATACACTCTGCCTTTCATCACTTTGCCGAGGGATGATTATGAACAGCTCGGCGCGTTACTCCTCGCGAAGGAGATCCGAACCACTCATACTCACGGCTCGCTCACTTGCAATTCAATTTCGATGCGTGGCTATTTAAACTCATGCCAATTGACCCGGGTAGATGAAACGCATACAGCGGAACGAGGGCAAAAAAAACAACATACGTGGTAACTGAACGTACACCTCCCTTTGGTTTATAATGAATGTGTCATGTGAAACATCATGGCTCCGTAGTGTAAGTGGCTATCACAGCGGATTCTGATTGATGGCGTTCGCGTCATGAGTTCATCTTCCGCTAATCTGGGTTCGAGTCCCAGCGGGGCCTGACTTTTTGCATCCTCTTCCCTTTAATGAATGTAATAAATACGTCTCTGTGA